CGTACGCCGGCGTTGCTCCGGGCAACCGATGGGGATGAATCTACGCGACGCCCGGCGTCGAGTTTCCTCGTAGCGGGTGGGGCTGTTAGACTCTCAGTGCGCTCCACGACGCTCAACCGACCACGTACAACCCGGTGCGAGCGTCGCGCGACGACCCCCTCTTGGATCGCGATCCGCCGATCGATCCGCGCCTCGATCGCGACTCAATCGTCGATCTTCTTCCTCGATCGAGCCACGATCACCCCTCGAACCAAGTGCCAACGGTTGCTGCAATTTCTTTTCTCTCTCTATCCATCTCTCTTCTTCCTCCTCTTTTCGAAAGAGCGAAGAAAAAAAGGAGAGGATAATTTTACGGGTATTTTATTATTCGCAAGGTGAAAGTTTGATCCTCGACATACCGGACCTCGACTCTGCTCGATTTCCTTCGAACGTCCAAGAGTTTGAAAAGAGGTTCCTTGTGTTTTATAAAGTTTGCCCGAGACAGTTGATATAATTTTGGAGTGCAACGATTGCATCGAGAAAAGTACGCGTGAAACGATCGACGAAGGATTTCTTTCCCCGAGAATCGAGTATTTCGAGATCGCGTCGAGAGTGATTATTTCCTTGTCAACGTGGTTAAGGGGAATAATTGGGCAAGAGGGGCGAGTGGTGCGCGCTCGAGTGATGTTAAACTAATTGGAAAGAGCGTAACGCGTCCACGCCGCTCGTCTCCTCTTCTCGCTTCGGGAAACGAGAGCGTCCCGTAATATCCGAGGATGAAGAGGATGAAGAGGCTACGACGAGTCGAAAGTAAACATTGAAAATAATATCTCAAACGAATCTTATCAATCCTTATTTCACGGAAATAATTTCCATCGAGCAGGGTCGAGGCACGGGGAATATAAATATATCGATGTTGGATTAATCGGCGAGTGATCGTACACGATCGAGCGAGGATGCGCGCGGACGGGAAATCGCATTAGCGATCGATCGAAATATTATATCGGCAGCGACGTGTGCGGTGTCGTGTGAGAAGAATTGAACAACGAGTCGTGATCGTGACACACGGCCCAGCTGGCCGCCCATAATTGATCGTGACAGTTGCAGAGTACCACGATAAGTAATAAAGTTGTGCGAGAGAGCAGTGAACATCGCGAGTGACGTTCATTTTGTTCCCGTTTATCCTCGTCGGACACGCTTTCGAGGATCGAGGGATCCGTCCAGGAAGAGAGAGAGAGGATCGTCGATCGTAAGTCGAGGAGGAGGCGGTAACGGAGTCGTTGCAGAGAGTTTTTCCACGCGTTAGCACAAGATTCGAGATTTTTTTCTTTTCTCTCGGTTTATTGTTTAGTATCAAATTCGATCCCGCGAAATCTCGGATTTGTCCCTTCTTCCACTTCTTCTCGCAGCCTGGAATAATCAGACTACTCGTCCTGGGCTCGAGGCAACGATTCTCCCGTACAAATGCACGCAATGCGAAAGAGAAATCGATAGAGATTTGTACGAATGACACGAAAGAATCAACATCGTTCTACTTTCTAACAAGTAAAAAACTCGGTTCCAAAAAATTCTAATTTATTAAAAAAAACGCTTGTTTTCCTTCCTATCCCTTCCAATCGAGGGAATTAAAAGGTTAGAAAGGAATATCAGAGAGAGAGAGAGAGAGAGTGAGAAATTCAAGCGTGAAAATTGAAGTTGGAAGAAAATTCGACCGATTTCTAGATCCAGTGGAGAAAGGGATCGCTTTGAAACTAATGAAAACCCTCGCCTCGAAAGGAAAGAATGTCCCGTAATTACTTTTATTCGACGTTCGCTCCCTCTTCTTTCTCTCTCTCTCTCTCTCTTCCCCTTTCCTCCCCTTTCTTCCTTCTCTCGAAGCCGGCGACACCGAGGCAAAGGCACGAGGAAAGTTGGCAGCCATAAATTAAATCTGCCTGTAACGATTCACTCGCGCGAGAAGAGTACGCGTATTTTCGAAGCTACTTCCGCCAACTTGTTAAATCTTCGCACTCGAGAGAAGTTTCTCGAGAGAAGGATACACGCGCAAGTTACCCTGTCCGTATCCATCACGCAACATCGGATCCACGATCTTGTTTCCCCGCGTCCTTTCGACCCTTTGTTCGAGACTTTGATTCCCTTCTATTGGAATCTCCTTCCTCGAGTTTCACTCGTTTTCTTATTAAAAGTCTCGATCAGTTCAACTGATTGGAGGAAGATCGTCACGGTTGTGCAACGAAGCTTCGAATTTTCGTAATACGCGAAAAGCGGAACACTCGAATTATATTATTCCGTTCACGAATTTCAATATACCGGATATAAGCTTTGGTTATCTTGAGCGGGACAGGGTTGCCGAAAAAAATGTAATTGGAATCTCACAGTCGATATGATATTACGTGGAAAAATTCCACGGATAGATATTTGTGCAATTGTGAGATGAAATGAAAAGAAAAAAAAAAAAAGAGTAAAAGGAAATTAGATTCGAAATGATAGATACAAGGTTGTTAAAATACATGTTAAAAATTGACGTTGTTTCAAAAATTCTTTTTTTATACTTCTCTCTGGAAAATTTTTAAAAGTAACTTTGACTTATTTGCAAAATATTCGAGGCTATCAAATCTGTATATTAATTGTATCTATAAAAGTGTAAATATTCTTGTTTACGATAAAAAATTATTATATCTTGCAAAAGAATCGAGGGCACTGAACGGAGAAAAGAATTTTTGAAAATTAACGGGACGAAAAGGAGCGAGTTAGAGAGAAGGGATGGTATTTTGTGAAGTCCAAGTCTCACGGCGGGGAGATAATAGGGACGAGTAAATTGGAAAATCGAGCGGGTCACGGGTGCTAAAATTTGATTAAAAGGTCAAGTAACGAGTTAATTGCACGCGATTAACCGCGCGTTAAACTGGCCACGGTGAGTGGGGCTCGTGGGCGACACGTCGTAGGGGGGGAGAAGAGGAGCTTACCGAAAGCGTCCTATTGTTTCCCCAACGCCATTGTCCCCCGCCCGATCCCCTCGATCCTTTCCCCCGACATCGATCCCGCGCGATCTTTACTTTTTCCACCTTTTCCCAACTTACTCCCAACTCTCCAGATTTCTCTCCGCCAAAACTTTCCCTGCCAAAACTTCCAATTCCCCCGACGTATCGATTCCCTTTCGAATCGAAAGGTTAACTTTCTTCCCCCCTTGAATTCGAACAACGACGCGTAATAATTAATAACGAGTGGAATGGAAACGAAATCATTTGCGATTAATTCAATATTTTCGTGGAAACACGCGATAGAAATCTCCTAACCGAGTATAATAACTCGGGAAAAGATTGATACCACGTATCGGTTCCTGCTTCCTCGAAATCATAATTTACGGCCGTAATTCAACGTACCACGAGGATGGTGGAAAAATTGGAATTGGACTCGGGGTGTACGTAACGATAAAATTCTCAGGATTCCTTTCGTTCCATTTTCGTTCACGAAGATAAGTTCGATGCGTTCATCGTTGCTGACAGGGTATATGGAATAGCGTATATATCTAGAGGCGAGACGGTTCCAGGATAAACTCTGGAACAGCGCAGCATGATGAAATCGCAATTTCCTGCCGTGAAGGCGCATCCAACGAATAGGCAGCGAATGGATCGAGGATATTTCGACGCGTATACTCGAAAAACGGATCGGTTAAAATTTTTAATTAAAGCCAGAGAGAGAGAGAGAGAGAGATCACTTTTGGCTCTAGTTTTAATCAGAAGGCTCTAAGACCTCTTTCGAAAAGTTTCTCTTAGTTTTCATTTATATCCAAATTGATTCGCGAAGAACAAACGAAGAAAGGGGTGAAACGAGAAAGAGATTTCTGGAAGCGAGGTTCGATGGGCCGTGAGCTCGAGATAAGCAACTAAACCGTAAGTCTTGGCGAGGCGAACTTTCTTCCCTTGAATGGCGATGAGTTGTTGAAAATCGAACGAAAGGCGAACCTCGAAATCGAGAGAAGTCTGCGTGCTCGATTAATCCGAAAATATCGAAACATACATATACGTAATATAAATATAAATAACGAAAGATATAGTGAAAATTTCCATCTCCGCTCCCTTTATCTTCCCCGCGGTTTATCTTTCCCCGGGATACGTGTAAACGCGAATTCCAAGTTTACACAAGTATCGAGCGTTTGTAAACATGGAGGGTGGAAAAGGGTGGATTTTATACGCAAGGAGATCGCAGAGAGATCGAGAAATATACGGATGAAAATCGGTATCGTAATTAAAATTTTTTCCCCCGGGGGGGGGGGGGGGAAGAGAAGGATTTATTCTCAAGTAAAGCTTCGCGCTTTGTAACTCTGCATCGCGGTGACACGGTCTTCCTCCGGAAAAACTTGACTGTATATTTTTCTTTTTTTTTTTTTTTTTGTTTTTGCGCTTTCTCTTCCCCCCCCCCCCCCCCCTCACGGTGACACGGTCTTCCTACGGAAAAACTTGAATGTATATTTTTCTTTTTTTTTTTTTTTCTTTCACTTCAGTATACTTTGCATACTGTTTCATTATGCATTCTCCTGCAACGTACGGATAGCAACGAGAAAGAGTACGCAGTAGCAAAAGCGTATATACGTATACGATAGTGGAACGTTTAAATAATAATTTCGCCCTCCCCTCCTCTCCCCTCCCCTCGAGTCCATCGAGTATTCGAGCTGCAAAACGAACCCGTTACGGAAATCAGAGAATCGGCAAAGAAAATAAACGAGAACGGTTGGTCCGGGAAGATCAAACTGGGCTTGGCCGGGCTAATGCGAAAGTTTCCAGCTCGGTTATGGAGCTCTCTCTCTCTCTCTCTCGCTATTTACATTCGCGGAAGGAAAGCGACCAGTTCGATTGTACAAAGTTCGCGCACACCTGACCTATATTCCCGACGATTCGTGGATACACGATTTTACCTCGCGTTGCGTAAGAAGCCTCGTTACCCGAAGCTTCGATCCATCCTGGAATCGAAAGATCTCGTCGTTCTTATCGTTCATTATTCGTTCTTCTTTGTATTCGTTTTATAATTCTAGAGGACTATAGAGGAGGGTTCACAATCGCTAAAACAGGTGGCGGGATTAAAGACGAGAAGACAGGTTTGAAAATTAGGTTGGAGCCATGGAACAATACGGTTGACGAGATGCCGGCCAGATTACGAATCCTTCGAATCGGCTTACGGTCGAATCCTCGAATAAGCTTCCATTCGGCCGCCAACGCTATCCGTGTCGGTGGAAATAACGCATCCGTCGGAAATAAATTCGTTAAAATGTCGTCCGTTGATCGATGACGGATCGCTGCAATTTTCTCCCGCAATTGCTTCTCGTTTTCGCGCTGATTTATCGTGTAGCTTCTGATGTTTCTTCTGCAAAAGTACGCAAAAGTACGTCGTGACGTGTTCGAGATAGATTTTTTTTAGAACTCGGGTTTACAAACGAAAATGGAACGAGATTTTATTGTCACCGTATATTCCTATTCCTATTTGAAGATTAGCCTGGTCTTCCAAAGACACGGGTCACAAGTCTTTGAAGTTACTTTTTTGAGTTAAAGATCGATAAAGAGGAAACAGTTTAGCGCGAACATTTAATCGTTTCTAATTTTTTTAACCCGGGGAATTATTAAACAACGCGTTACTTCCATTCGATCCCTATGATTGCTCCTTTATGGAAAATTCATAGATATTTAAACGAAACGGAGTCTTTACACGAGAGCCGTTTTCAAACGAGACAAAAGAGACAATGCCTCGGGGTGCGATTGTGCCGCATTTTGCAAGGAGCCGCGCGTAAAATATTCCCCTGCTTTGCGAGCAGGGAGGGAAACAAATGGGCCGCGAAATAAAGGAGGATGACAGTTGGCGTTATCGCGGTGGAAATAACACCTTCCACCCTCGGCGGGATGATGACCTCGAGTAAAACGGGCTTCGAGATCCCGACAAAGAGACGACGGAGTTGAGAGCGTTCTCCAGGGAGGACAGTCCCTCCAAACAACTCCTCCTTTCTCTCTCAACTCCTTTTCTCTCCTCCCCCTTCCTCCTGAGCAGAAACTCGTTCCGTATGCAAAGCATACGGATGACCACGGATGAGATATCGAGAACAAAAATCCTCCATCATCCACCAGACGAATTTATCGAATTTATCGATGGAATCGAGAGGACAATCGTCTCTCCACGATTCTCTCGATCGTCGCGAAATTCTGATATCGGCCGGAAAAGAGAGAAAGAGAGAGAGAGAGGAGGAGTTTACCTAGGCGTCGAAGGAGAAAACGGGTCGAACGTTAGATCAAGGGTGAAGGGACACGGTCGCTGGCATGGAGAAAAGGGGTTGGTAGCCCGGCGTCGGTAAATATTGGCCAAAGCTGTTCGGGGACGATTGAATTAACGATTCCATTAAAATGGAGAGGAGAGGGCGCGTGGAACGAATTTATCCTTCTCCTCCCCCTTTCGATAATTTTTTTCCAATCTTTTTTCAAGATATCT